CCCCTTCCCCCTCTTTATAATAAACGCATCAATAATGATACGTGTATTTTTCTTCACGCGTTTCTCTCTCCGAATGTTTTGTCCTTGTTTCACGTTGTTGATCCTTGTGCGTTAGGTGTGTGTAGCTCTCGGTTGAGAGTGCCTCCATCTTCAATTGTGTAGGAACTGAAGAAAAATGGGAGAGAAGATCAGTAAAGATTTGAACTCGAGGCCCTCAGGTTTGGAAGTCGGCTCACTATCCCCTACACCAGATGCCCTCTTGCTATATTATTGTTATTTGTTTCTATTTCAATGATTATGGAAGACTATGCTATAATATTCAACATAGATACACATAGATACAGATTCGTAGGAAAATTTCGTATGTAACATTTTTATAAAATATATATGCATTGAAAGTATGCATATATATATATGCAGTGAAAGATATTTTAATATAATTTATTCGTTTATAGTATTTGGATAACAGATAGGTGATTAGGGGCACAAAGTTTAAGGGCTTGTAGTACTAATCGAGAGAGGTAAAAAATGTTTAATCAACATAAATCCTAATAATAGTTTCATTTAATTTTTGTTATTTGAATATTCTAATATCGTAAGTGAGTTTCTTCGAACCACATATTGAACGTAAATAGAAGTGATTTGGTTTATTAGACGTATGTTAGTTGAAGGTTGTCAAACAAAACATTACCTATTACTAATATTAATAAACCTCATATATGGTATAAATTTTCTTAGTAATGGTAGATGTTCAATATGTCTTCTTCTATTTAAATGAAAATGTCAATATTAACAAAGGTTTCTTCGTAAATGATCCAAACCTTCTTTGTTTACCTCCTGAATGTTTTCCTTTCATTTCAATGCAAATCTCACGATATTAAATACATGTAAACAAAAATTAATTTCACATCGAATTTCAATATCAATTCTATAGTTATTAGATATTTTTTTTTTTATTTTCACTAAATATTGCAACAAAACCTTTAAGCCTTTTATTTTAGCCTTTTTTCTTTTCACCGTCTATGCTTTTAAAAATTTATCTAAATGTAAAACCAATTCAAAAGTCAAGATTATCGACGTATATACCCATCTTTCTTCCCCTCATTAATAATTTAGCATCCGTATGATCGATGAACTCGAGGAACACGAGTATTTATAAAAAAATATTAAATTAAAAATAAGTTAATTTTGCCTATTGCAATGGCGTGATACGAGGATGAACATCTAACGAGATAATATCTAACCATTATATATCCATTTCTATTCACCTATCATTACGTAACATCGTAGTTTACGATATTTTGACGTGTAATGATGCTTGTCCATCTATATTAATTCTATATTAACAATGATACAGAACACGGTTACAAATAAAAAATATCCAATCTAAAAATTATCTAATTAAATATTCAAGATTATCCATCGAAATAGGCGAGGAATAAGCCAGGAATAAAAACGAATCTTCTCGTAACCCTTCTCGCCGCTTCAATGTAATTCTCGTTGCATTGAACATTATATTAGTCTGAATTAGTCGTGACGTTCATCTTGTTGCTAACGTTCGCCTATATAGCATAATCTTAAGAGCCTTTTCACATTGTCCGCCGTATGCTCTCAGTTCTCATCGTTCGATTTGAATGTCAATTGATTATCGATCGATACCATAACTCATTGATCGAGCGTCAAAAATAAATAATGGAAGAATAACAATAAAATAATAACACGGAAAACGAGCATTGCTCCATTGCAGATAATTCAACGATCGATATTCATTTTCAATGGACGGATGACGAAAACGAGACAATGTGTTGTAACGATTCATTAGCTCATATAACCAGGAAACGTTTGACCACGGTTAACGAATGGAATTTCGCAAAAATCCGATATCGTTGGCTCGCGTGAAGATTGTGAGACGGGTTTTAGCGACGATAATAGGGGTACACGAAGCATTTTTAACGCGTGCATCCCTATCTCGACGATGGGTTATGGCGAAACGTGATAACGAGTTCGAAAAAAAAAAAAAAGAAAAAAAGAAGCCACCGATAACTCGGTTATCAGGGCTCGAAATTTTTCGTTCGATCGACGGAGGAATAAAAATAAAGAGAGGAGGGGAAGGGATGCGTGGAATAGAAAGGCTGATACAGGTGCGTTTTTCGTTTTTCGTTCCGTTTTTTTTTTTTTTTGCAACCCTCGTGAACGAACATTTTTCAGAATTCGATCCGTGCACGAAATGATTCGATGGGATTGTACCGATCTTATGAATTAAATTGCCGATTCACGTTCGAGATATTAATTAAACAGTAAACTGGAATACACTGGTTTCGAAACGAAGCGAAACTCTTTTCTTTTATTCAACTTTAAAATTTTTTAAAATATCTTTTTTTTTCGACGAGTTTTTTTATTCGATTAGATGGACTTTGATTTTATTTTTTAAAAGTGGAATGCATTTTATTGGAAATGATCTCTTTTTGAAAATGAAATGATAGAAATAGAAATGTAAAAATGTGTTTCTTTGGAAGGTATGTTTCCATTAATATAGTTTTATGAGGAAACTTATCTTTATCAAATTATTTTTTCGAACTTTTAATTTTAGAAGAAAATTAAATTATGTTTGTTTTTCTTTTTATCTATTCGAAATGAAAGAGAATGGTTACTTAATTTTTTCGAAAATTTTCTTTAATATGATTAATTTACTATGATTAATTTACTTTCATGATAAATCTTAATCAAATTGTCTTTTTAGTTTTTAGAAGAAGATTAAATTGTTGCTTTTTGATTTGAAAAAGTACAATCGATTACAATTAAGTACTTTCTCAACGGGAAACATTTTTTCTGATGTTATTAATAAAACATATTTAATCCTATTATTATATAACATCGTATTACGAACACAGATATTAAAATAAAATTTCAAACCTTTAGCATTTACAATCAATTACATAATATTCCAAAAGGAATTTAATGTTCTCTGTAACAAAGAGAGCATTTCAGTAAGAGAATGCTGTAAACATTTCGTGCAATATGACGTTTGGAATTATCCAGAGGGAAAGAGCATCTCCCAAATTAGAAAACAGAAAGCAGGGCAACGAGAAGTTGTATAAACTCGTATCTCATGTCTAATGTAAGAAGTGAAGAGAAATTTGGAGGAAGGTGGACGGGGTTGATACCCTTTCCTCGTGCTCGGTGTCCCGGAAAAACTGTTACTGCTGGTCGCACGTGGTCTCAAGGGGTTCTTTTATGATATAAAAAAATGCTGATATTACAAATATTTGTTTTCTTCCTGTCATATTGTACTTTCGAGATCGCCCCTAAGTTTCTAACACACATTACGTGACTTTGCATTCCATATTCGTAATTTCGAATCATTTCTTTTTTTCTAAATAAAAATTTTACGTGTTAAAAAAATTTACTTAAATACATACTTGAAAATCGTAAAATAATTTATATATACTTTCTTCAAAATTGGAAAAATATTGAATGAAAATTTTATATTACGAAGAAGGTCAATAAAAAATAATGCTGAAGAATAGAAGATTGGGAATGGGAAAAGAATTGTTCTTCTCATCAAGCTCGATGAATTGCGAATATGTGAGAATCCTCGATACGAAAGAATGTATAAGAAATATTTTATTCGCTTGCCTGTCGAATTCATTTGTTAGCATTGGACGACTTCGATAAATTGATTCTATTTGATGGTAAATTTACCTTGCATGTAGAAAAGGAAAAATTAGAATTTAATTTTTTCAGATTTGAATAATTATGCGTAAATTATGCAGAATAATATTTCCATATTAATTTAATCAAATTTAATGTGAATATCTTTATGGCACTATTTTATTTAAAGAAGAATTCATTCGTAAGTTGTGCTCTCATATGCAGAGATTGATGATCTAACTATATTAATTTAAAGTTGCTATATTGATAGTTCTTCTTTAATTCTTTCGCCAATAAAAATTTAGACTTTAAAAATAATCCAAACTATCAAATTTTCTAATTAAACATTGAATAAAATGTAATGTATATTCTTTCGGAAAAAATTAAAAAATTAAAAAATCATGCAATTGAACCCACTTTTTTAATTATTCTGATATATAAATCGGTTGCCGAGATATAAGGATTCAAAGTTTCCGTAGTGCTTAAGAAATAATGAATGGATCCGCGACTTTCTGACCTACATTTTATTTTCTTGGAAATGCGTACTACTTCCAGGAATTACGTCTGTCACTTGTCCGGAACTCAGTGAGACGAGATGCAAGTGAGATATTCGAATAAACGACAAGGATAGAGATAGTAGATGATCAAAAATTATCTTTTTCTTTACACGATGATATCTCGGGAACCGGAAGTCGTATCGAGATAAATCAAAAAGAGTTTTAAAAGGCAAACTTCCTACTTTTAATCATCTTGAACTCGTTAATTAAAAATCATTATCTTTGGAGTTATAGCGATTTAAAGTTTTCCTAATTTTAATAGAATTTAAGCGTTTGAGATAAATAATTAAAAATTACCTTTTCTTTACACGATGATGTCTCGGGAACCGGAAATCGTATCGGGATAAATAAAAAAGCGTTTTAAAGAGAAAGAATCCACGCTTCTAATGATCTTTTACTTGTTGATCGAAAATCAATATCTTTGAAGTTATAGCGGTTTAAAGTTTACCTAATTTTAATAGGATTTATTCGAGTTCTAAGGTAAATTATACAGATACGTTTATTTCTGATACGCGCTACAATTAAAACTATTCTTTCATGCTTTCTTCTGCTTGAAAACAGAACTTGAACAATTGCTTCACAAAATTGTCCATATCAATAATAACGACTTCCAATATTCTTTGCCCAATATTACAATTGAAAATTTTATCGCACAAATTTCTTCATCGTGCCCAGGAGATTAGGAATACCACATTCGATCGCTTTATTATTCATTTATCAACGCGAATTTTCACCATCGTGTCCGCTACACCGCGAAAGGTAATGCATATCCCATCCATACTCGGCTGCCAACGATTGAATACAATAAATATTGGATACGAAGTTATTGAAACTGCAAATTATTGAATGTGGAACGTTAGTGAACACGAATGTTATTGATTGCCGCGTGAAACCGAACCCGAGAGAATTTGGTCAAGCGATATTGTCAGGTGGTGAAAATGCAGAAGCGAGTGCTGATCGAATTTTCCACTTTTTCAATCGATCTTTTCATATCTCGTTTGATCATAATGATCAATACAGTATCCTTTTGTGTCCTTTTTAAAAACGATTATATCCTTGCGTAATTTTTCTTGCATCGATCGTATGCCTGAAAGGCTTAATTTAATTGAATTTTTTTGATTGTTAAATCTACAATGGTATATTACTTTTTTGGTGTGTTGAATAGCATACTGAAAGTCTTTTGTATCATGGAAAAAGTTAATTGACATACTTTCAAATACATATATATATAAAACTTTTAAGATATATGATTAAATAAGATACTAAGATTTTGATTTATATCAATATCTGCTTAACTAAATGAGATCTTTAATAATTATTCAAATTTAAATAAAATTTTTTACAATCTTCATGAAAAATTAATTATATTTTATTTAATATTTGAAACCATTGATATATTATCTATTAAAAATATTGATGTATATCATGAAATACTAAAAAAGAATTGTTGGATCTTCTGAAATAATTTTCTGTTCTTCATATAATCTAGTAATAAAATAACAATGTTTCAATATGATATAAAAATTAAAGAAAAATATAGATTCCAAGATTAAATAGGAAAAGGTAGTAATTTCTGTGAAAAATAGTGACCAGTGACGTATAATTGTAAGCCCTGTTTTATAAATTAACAACGAAGGATAGTATTAAACGAAAGAGAATAAGAAATATTAATCCAGTTACTGGACACTTTCTTATTCTCTCGAAAAGGAAAGGAAACGAAAGCAAGAAAACGCGAAAGAAATATAGACTATAAAATTCATGGAGTTTTGAAATATATAAACACGTAATTCTACGAAGTTGGACTTGAAAACGCTTTAATTCAATATAAACGTCAAAGCAATCTTTAAACGAAGCTTTAAAAGTGTCATGAACCATTAAATCGGGTCATAAAAGAATTCAAATTGAGAGCCCACTTGCAATATCCATTATCAATAACAATTTACCCTTTTGAACTTTGTTCAACAATTCGATACATCGCAAGAAATTATTATGCTACGATTATCCCCTTTTTATGATGTTTCATTAATAATAAATATACGCTCAATTTGATTCATTCCATTTGTAACAAAGATATTTATTTGTTTAGCAAAAATAGATTATAATATATCATATTTATAATTGTTTATTTAGCTTGCATTCTTTTGAAAAAAAATAAATGTGTTTCTATATTATTGTGAATATTTACAAAATCGTACAAAAAAGAAGATAAATTCAAAGATATGTAATTTTAAATGATAATATGACAAAGAATTTATAAGAAATATCATTTCTATCAAAATTCTATTTTTGCTGCATGATTGTAAAAGGCTATCTATTTAAATTTTATAAAAACATAGTAGAATTAAATTTTGAAAATATTCTTTAAAAAATTGTTTTTCTATCTATTCTTTTTTCCCCATATATTTTAATATTTTA